AAAATTAAATTGAAACTCAAATAATTACTAATTTGGCCCTTAGAGGTAAGTAACTAAGTACACATCCCAAAAAGTAACAGTTGATCGTAAGCCACTAAATAAAACATCTGAAGTCAATCGAAACCTGCAAAACAAAAATAAAATAAAACGTTTATTGGTTCAGTTCTCGCACTATTCAATCAACAATCGAATAACTCAAGAATCGATTCACTCGATTCCGCCAATCTTTTGCCGGCTGAACGAAGTTTCTTTGTGATTGTGACTCGCACAAAAGGTAAATCTTGACCAATCTTTTGGCGCGCACGTGACACGTGGCTATTAAACGATTTTAATCAGAGTTATTTTATTATAAGCAATGGACTAAACTAAAAATATCTTCTTGAATGTCTGGTAAGAGATTTTCGTTCTTATTATACATCTCGACTCAAATTGAAATAACATAAAATTAATTCATAAACATTAATTTAACAAATTCTGGTGTAGCTACTCTGGTCGCGAACCTTTTATAAATCAATGATAAAAGACGTAAATCTTCTTATCTCATTAATTGAAATAACACCGTGCCAATTAGAACGATCAAATAATTTGCTGAGAAACACAAGCAACCTTACACTAGAGTAGTCCAAACAATCTATATATATAAAAGAAAGTCGTGTTAGTTACTTCGCTTATAACTCAAGAACGGCTGAACCGATTTAGCTGAAAATTGTCAGGGAAATAGTTTAGAGCCAGGAGAAGGACATAGGATACTTTTTATCCCGTTCGAAATAAAAAAAAGTCTGCTTATTTATTGACATTAAGGCGGAACAAAGTTCGCCGGGTCAGCTAGTTCCAAATAAAGAAACACTATTGATCCCGTGGTCCCCGGCGCACTAGGAATACAGGCGGTATTGCTATTTTGGTACCTACTGACTGCTGAATGCCTGGTATTAGGCATTTCAGTAAAACCTATCATTTTAAGACTAAAAGATGATGGTTCTGAAAATACTGAAGAAAAACCTACTTAATACTTATCATAAGTGCGAATTTTGATGAAACTTAACATTATAAGCTATAATTTATTTTACGCGGGCGAAGCTGTGGGCAAAAGCTAGTTTCAATATAAATTATTTTTCGCAACATCTACTAAGCAGCAAAAATGAAAATAAAACCAGACATTTAATAATTAATCTCTAATTCAGCCCGAACCAAAGGAAGGAAGCCGTTACAAGAACATCTTTAAGAAATATGTAAAAAAAAGTTTATAAATTCCGGGTTCAGGAAAAGCCGCGTAATCCACAAAGGGCGGCCTTAACACATCAAAGCCGGCTTACCGCCGCCGGGAGTGGCCAGAACCCACTAAATACCATTCAATGAGAATTTTAAGATGTTTTTATATATTTTTAAAATGTTCCTGGAAAAGCTGAATTTGCTGGAAAATTACTACCGTTAAAAAAAGAGACCCAAGTTGTTCTTCATTTTGATTTTAGGCACACTAATGAAGAGACTTGCACATAATTAAATTTCAAACAATGTTAAAGGGCATTCTACAATAGTCTACTGCCAGAGTCTAGCTAGAAGCAAATGTATCCAAACTAATTTCTTCTTACTTTAAACTAAATTATTTTTAGATGATTGATTCACAGACCAAATATTTAGACCAAACCTAACAATGCTACACAAAAAAGATCCATTAAGCGCGCGCGTGCCAGATGAGAGGTTAAGAACCCAGGTCAAACCCAGCACAACTTTACCACCATAATCGCGTACTCAAAGTACTTAAATAAATTGAAAGCCACATAACATAGGTCTTAGTCGATGAAATGTTAGTAATTAAACCGAAGCTTTTCAGCTGGACGAGCCAACAATGTCTTTTGTCCGACGTCGCATCAACCAATTAATTGGTCTTCTGCCGAAGTTACTCTTTGACCGCAAACCAATTAGCAAGGATTGGCATCAAAGGCCAGCACAGGAAGGCAGGTGAGAGAACACATGCCGTTCTCGACCTTGTCGCACAGACAAAAGGTTTATAGGTACTACGGCGGTATAAATACAGGTGAGTGGATTTCAATTGACTTTAGAGTTGCATAGTTGTAACATTATCGACAATGTTACTATCGACACAATTATTGCTAGTACTTCAATGACTACGAGTATAATATTAAGCTCTACTCAACTATTGGAGGGATTTCCCAGTCATCTTTTTCAATCGCATGTTCTATAACATTATGTAACCTAACATATTATATTATGTGTAATTATTTTACTAAGCAGACACGATTTCTTCCTACTGTTTACCTAAAGAAAATCTGTAACAGTGATACTTTACATTTGAAATCTATACCATTAAGTATTAAAACATCGTATTTTGGACATTTCACCCATTTTTAGACATCGAAAAATCTTTTTGTAGTCTTCTCTATCTTTATCGCCTACTATCGATAACCATAAGTTTTAACATCACTATTCACATGATCTCAAGGAAATAGCAAGCGTGTGCCAGCAAGAGCAGACTTCCTGGCAGGAACTTGAAGGTATTACTCCATTAGTTCTAAATACAAGTTCAAACCACACCATTTAAGATCACAGAGATTAATTTGGCGTGGTAATATGCCTTTGAACATATTTAATTGATTCACGACTTTCATTTTGGTCGTTTTTAACAGCAGTTCGTATTTATGAGAGTTGTATCCGTGACATGCCTTTAAATATTGAATAGGAGCAGCAAAACAACATGGGAAATGGGTGCCGGGTTTAACATAATCCCAGGCGCTATTTACATTGGTAATTATGCTTCAACGATATACTGTTTACTTAATGTAATTAAATAAATGTCGCAGCTATACATAATAATATGTATATCGGATATATCGGACATGAAAAATAAAAAATCCAGATTCAGATCCAGATTTAAGAAGTGGAACACTACATACTTTTAATAGCCTATTTATTTTAAACAGTCCCTACTTGATACACTATTTAGACTTCGAGAGATGCGAAAGTTTGCAACAATCTTGCACGACACGAAATGGAGACTGGAACTAGGAAAATCTTTGACATTCACACCGCAAACTCGGCGTCACTCGGTTAATTTCGGCCCCAGCGCAGCGGCGCACTATTCAGAACATCCTGATACATATTTCATGACCCCTCCCAACCGCTATCTTCGAATCTTTGCTTAGCATGCATCATTTTAAAATAGCCGTTTGCTTTTTCTTTGTCTTCAAGCTTTGGCAATTTAAATTTCTTTGAAGTCAATTTATTTAAATACTGTGGAATGAAATGCAAATGTAGTGTTATAATTTTTTGGTTGTTTGATGTATTGGTAAATACAAAGAAACCTAGTGAAATCAAGACGGATCATTTGATTGTTTGGCTTTGAAACTATTGAACTGATTTGAAAAACTCTTTCACCATTATCATATAAATCTGATAAACATAGGCAGTAAGAAGTTCACTGGGTCAGGTAGTATGAGACAGAATGTATACATTGTAGTATTTTAATGGACGGAATATGCGAATATTTCGAAGTTACAACAACGCGCCACATAGCCGCAGTCTGACTCAAGTGGGCGCTATGTTAATCTTTGCTGCGTAGATAATTTTAAAGATAACCTTTTGCTTTGTCTATAAAAGTTTCAGGCTGGGGAATTCTCGCGAATCCAATTTTGGGGACAATGAGACAGATAAAGGCGTTCGATTTAGCTCCAGGTGACTCCATTCGGGGCGGTTATCTGATGCTTATTGAAATTGTTAGGCAAATTAAATTTTGTTTGCGGTTGGAATTTACTTAAAAGTTGAATGACTTCTTAAGAACTAACCTTAGAATTTTGTTTATTCAATTTTATGTTTTTGCAGCGCCGATTCTCGTGAAAAATGAATTTTGTATACCTACGTGTTGTTTGTTTTGCACACTGGATATATGATTTGCTTCCATCGATGATCCATACCGAATACAACAATGTGGGACGCGTAAAGCAGGCAACGTTATTACACGTCCCAGTAGGTATGGTATGGTATGGGTCTGTCAGTAGATCAGAGTAGGTCGTCAACTGTATTATCTGCTTGTTGTCAAAAAGCTCATTTATACAAATTATTAAATAAGTTGTTTGTTCTCGATATAAAAGTATTTCAACCCTTATGGTCCTCGTCGTTTTCAATCGCAACAGAACTCAGCAAAACATTTAATTCGCCGTTACAAAAAATGTTGCTATTCATCCTAATGTTAAAAGAGCGGCGTGATTGCATTAGGCCGTAATCTAAGTTAGCCAGCAATCGAGTGTTCCCTGATTGCGTTAACATAGCCCCGAATCGGAGTCGAAACACAGCTAGGGGAGAGCAGCCATGTTAAAGCTTCAACCAAACCACGCGATTGCGATCATAGGCCAGTGATAGGACGCGCGACCAATGACAGAAGACGCGTGACCTGTCATTAGCCTATAATCGCGTCGGCAATGGCGATCTGCACGCGTTGGTTTGGTTGAAGCTTAACAGGTTAATTTTATCGATCTATCTCAGTAAGGCCAGTTAATTCCGTAGTCATAACATTTTTTTCTTGCTTAATGGCACCTTTAAAGACTAATTTAAGGTGCTACAATTCGTAATATACTGTAGGTAACGTCGAGTTATTGTTCGATGTTACTTGTTGATGATTTTGACTAGAACTGGCTATAAAGAAAAAATACACACGACAAAATTAAATATGTCACTACTAGTAAGCCCCTTACATGCCATTTAATATGTCCTAAAATCTTATTTACTCTATGTCTGAAACTGTTTCTTAGTATTGATAAATTAAAATAATATATTATGCATTCTCAGAACACGTTGTTTTTAATCAAACAAACATGTTTTTCGTTCTGATAAAATTGATACACTCTTTGCAAACATCAAATAGTTTTCCAATTAATTTCATAGGGCTTTTTTTAAACTTGAGAATGTATTTAATACAGTGGATATTTTTCTCTTGCATAAGCTGGCTGCTCAACCCGAGATGTGCGAAAGGAAACTTCCTCAATATTTCAGGGGAAGCCAATATAAACGTACTCGTCGCCTCCTCCATAATACACTAAGCCGAAGAATCGACACCTGCGCCTTGAGTTAGTGGGTTTGCTAAACTTTTGCGGTGTTGACATGAATCGAATGCCAATCTGTACGAGTATAGTAGAGAGATACGTTTTGCTACTAGTTTACTTTTTGTTTTGCGGCAAAGTTGTAAGATCTTTTTACGGCTAACAAAGAAATGTAAGCGTTTTGCTCTTTTTATCCTATTTTTTGACGCTATGTAACTTGAACAAACTTGTGAAGGCGCATGTTCTACGATTTTTGTTTCCCTCAATCATTAAGTGGCCCTAACTCCTAACACGTGTAAAAAAGATGGATAGGGGCAATCTGTCTGAATCTGCTACCCTTTACGGTTCCATTACTCGGGCAGACACCGGTGAGTGGATGAACGAATATTGTGGAACTTTTACCAACATTTTTCGGATGCTTAAATAAACTACTTTATTCTCCTTAGTTAGTGTTAAAGTAAGATCCTATTTGGAGGGGAAAAGAAGAAGAAAGGTCTTTTGTCTATGAGTATGAACCATTGAAACATCGCATCACGCACGTCGTGTTTAAACGCGTCTCATTGCCACGTTTTTCATTCACATATGTCTAGGACAAAGTCTTAAAGAGCTTACAGACGAGCAACATTATGTTGGTGACTGCTTGCGATAGATAGATAGGCGACGCTCAGCGTCTTTAGGCGTCCGTCGGCGACAGTCTCCGGCTCGTGCCTTTCGTGCCCCTTGCCCATCTTCGAGAGTCGCGATGCATCGGTGACCATCGGCAGTATTCGCGATGCGTCGGCGACAGTCGTTTAATTTGAATATCTATAAGTCGCAAGCGGTCGCCAATAAACCGTTGCATTAGCCAAATGGGCAGGGCACATAGTACGCAGAACTGACGGTCGATGGGGCAGCAAGGTTCTGGAATGGAGGCCGCGTACCGGAAGGCGCAGCGTGAGACGTCCACCTACAAGGTGGACCGACGACATCGTAAAGGTAGCAGGGAAACGCTGGACGCAGGCCGCTACCAATCGATCAACGTGGAAAGCGTTAGGGGAGGCCTATGTTCAGCAGTGGACGTCCTATGGCTGACATGATGATGATGATGATGATGATTAGCCAAATATCTAGTAGACTATTCTAAGACTGACCTGAGGCCGGGCACGTCGTCAAGCTGCGCGCCGTCGAGCTGCTGCCAGGCGAGCTGCGGCGCGGGCGAGCCGTGCGCGGCGCACGACACGCGCGCGCCCGTGCCGTTGGAGAACACCAGCCGCGCCGGCGGCTCCAGCAGGAACACCGGCCCGTGCTCCTGGCCCTCACCACCTACAACAAAAACTGTATTAGAGCTGAGAGCCAAAGCACACGATGCGTTGCGGCGACGCAACGAATTCGCCATGTCGCGCAGCGCGGTGCCGCCCCGCTCGTGTGCACGCGCCAGGGTTGGAGGAGACCCAAGGACTTCTATATCAACCGGTCTTTGCGCTTCACCAGATTGTCGATCCACCTAGTGGGGGGCCTGCTCACAACAACGTCTTCCGATCCGTGGTCGCCAGGAAGCCGGGATCAATTACATTATCATCATCATTTCAGCCATTTCAGGATTTCTACAATGACCTACTCTTCTACCGGCATCCACAGAGCAGAAGATGTAGTGTGGGCACTGTTCTGGCCTCCTACTCGGTGAACCGACGATCAAGTATGGATCGTAGAAAGTACGTGGATGCGGGCAGCGCAAGACCAGTACACCAGTCGTTATGAAATCCTTGGGAGAGGCCTTTGTCCAGCAGCGAACATTATTTGGCTTAAAGGAACTAACAGTTTTCACAAATTACAAAGCATCATCATCAACATTTCAACAAAGAATTTCCAGAACTACGATTACCTGCGGCTGCGCTGCCTGTATACAGTTATAAATTACAAATTAACCCTTCTAGTTAAGCAAACACTCGTATTTAATATGCTTTGTGTTGGGTGTAGTTCACCACAATAGCTGAAAGTGGTTACATTCGTTTGTACAACAAGGTAATAAATAATATTTTACAGAAAATCGATAAAACTGGACTACAGCTAGATAACTAACAAGCACAAATATGTATGTAAAAATGTCATTATTAGAAGTTCTAATAAATTCAGTAGCGTTCTTATTGCCTGCCTCTACTACACCATCATAATGGAACTATTGGAACTATGGTCGTGACAAAGTTGCCTTCAGTGCAACTAGCTGGACACTGAGTAGGAAATAACTCGCGCTTGTGGATAAACTGTACCGGGGCTTTATAGTCCATCACTGGCAGCGTCGGGGACACAAAGGGCCACACGGCAGCGCTGTGATCGAGTACTTACATATTTAAAAGTTTGAAATGGCCAAGAAATACAAGCTTGGTTGCAACGTAAGTTCAAGAAATACACGAGAGTTTGATATGTTTTTATCAATTGGATACGCGTACGTTTCTTTCAGTGCTTGTACGTGTAGAAGTAGATGGTAAAATATTCAACATTTAAGTTGAGTGAGTTTCATGATCTCAATTCAACTTGTTTAGGTACGTACGAGTACCTACTGATTGTCTAAGCAGTAACTAAACGTACAAAGCGGTTATGTAAACTAACATAAGGTTACACAGAAATGTCTATTTCTGTATACCTATGTACTTGTAATTACATAATTTCAAGGCTTCAAATCAACCTTGGAGATACCCGAAGACGTTCTCCCGTACACGAGTTCGGGCTTAATCTTGTTTACCTGTATTAAACACAGGTATTAACTAAACACAACATTACTTAACAAACAAGACTAAGCCAAATACTAACCCTGCCTCACGACGCATTAAACTGAGATTTGTCAAATTAGACGAGAGTTAACACTTTAATGTGGTTAGTGTGTCAGACAGACCGGCTCGAATATAATGCGCGATTTGAATTTCAAACTCCATTCTGGCGTACACCAGATCCAACTGGCCGTAACTGGGACAACAGTGTTATGTTAAGAAATTATGCATTATATCACTGATTAGCTCCGAGAATGTGGAGCGACGATGCCAAAACTACGCCGCGAAAGTTCCCATGTATTTATTGGAACGTTTATTGGTATCGTAAGTGCGTTTCAGAATAAAGTTTTAAATTTCGTCGTATGACTCGTTGAAATTGTAATTTTAACAAAGTTTTTTGTGAAACGAAAGAGTATTGGAGAGCTGTGCGGACCAAAACTCATTTGATTTGCATTGGACACAAATATCGAGTCCATGATAAAAAGAAAACAAAGTTCATCAAAACCGATGCGGATTCTTATTAAAAAAAACTCAAAAGTAACGCGATTTTGTCTCTTTTATAGCGTAGCGTATAATCACAGTTTAATCGACAGTGCCCATTGTGAACTTAAGTAGTATTTACGTTACACAGTGCAATCGAAGTCCATCACCGGTCCCTCGAGGCTCCTTGAGAGTTCTCCGGTAATGCGATCAGGCCGGTCTCAGGGACCTAGTGAAGTTTTAAAGGTTGGTCAGCAGTCCAATGTAAAAGCAACTTTTTGGTTTTACTTTGATTGAAATTCAATGACTAAACTGCCGGTGCTCAGAAGGCACTCGGAAAATTCCCATCCATCATACCAACCACCATCTTACTTTAACTATAACATAATATGTCAAAAGTCTGTCAAACTACATTCAAAATACCGGTAAACTGGTTTAAGTTAAGGTGATGCAAATGAGGCTAAAGTTTCATAAAAAACAAAAATTATCCTACATTGGTAGGTACATTGTCAAGTACCTTTTAGGATAAAGAAAGAAATACATATACATTTTTCCTTCGTATGGAAAAGGAAAAATACACGTGAAAATCAGATTGAAATGTGTTCGACCGTAAAGAGCAATGCACCGCACACGTAACGTAATTGAATGTATAAACCTTTCCAGTCATGCTTTTAGTTAACATAATGATTGGGAATGAAAAGGCAAAGACCATTAACGGTTTCCGTTCACCATTTCAGCCGCACAAATGTCTTGCATTTCCCGGTATTTCGGTCAAGTTATAGCGGTTCGAATGTAATGCTCTTTCCAAGGAAAAGACACGTTCTATTTCGCCTTTGTTAAACTATGTTTCATGAGGGCAACATCAGCAGTTTGGAGAAAAGAGTTAGCTACGCAGATATTAAATACTCAGAATTTTCCGGTCTTTGTAGGTCAAATCTTATTATTGGTTCACCTCATCTTGTAAACCTTATTTTCTGAACATCCCTTGGGATTTTCGTAACCACGATTTGACGCAGCTAGGTACAGTCATAGAGACTAACATGTATCACAAAAAAAAAATCATACAGTACTTCAGAAACTCTCCCTTTAGCGATTTTTAACCTTTTCCTGTCCTTGGCCAGATTATCACAAATAATTTAAAAAAGTTATCATATGGTAAGCCAGGAAACTGCATCAATAGACTCATCATACGCAAAAGTGCTCACACAACTATTCAAGCAAAGTCTTACGAGTATTTGTTGTACTAAACAAGAATGACGTCACTTGTGTAACAGTATCGGATTACGCTGCTGTAATTCGATATTCAGCGCAGGAGCTTCGGTCTAAGTCAGAGGCAGCCCCCTGAGACACTTGCGTTTGTCACGGCGTCATGGCTTGCAGGCGATGCCTTGTTTGCTCCCTAATGCCGTTTGAAATCGAGAATGGACAACAAAGCACCACATCTCTTTAATTTAAGTGTATAATTAGTATTTATTATCTTTCATAAAAACTGTAGAAACACAAATTCAGTTCAGAAAACACCAATGCTTTATCTGTAGCTGTACTCGTATTTGATTCCCCACCCTGACAGATTTATTTTGGGACAGCCGAATGTACCAGACTTTATTAGATGTAATGCTACTGAATCATAATAGTAACTAACTGGACTTTACGTAGGTAGTAAAAGACATTTTCAAGGTTAAGAAATATTTTCATGTAATAAATAGGTTTATGTAAAGACTAAAATAATCTAGAAAAGGAACAAAAGTGGCTATGCTTATACTTTACTTACTCAGAATTGAAACGAATGAATGTTATTTATTCAACCAAAACACAGCTCCTATGCCACCTGTAAGCTTTCTATGTAAAGGCAACGTAACTAGAACTCTGATCTAAGCTTTAAAATTAAGTGCTACGTAGTATACTAAACCGACCCATCTAGTTGATGGACAAGGACATTTCCTAGGATATTCTTTGAAATTGTAACATTTATTATTTTATTAAAAATGTTATGAAGTCCACTGCATCTTGTCACAAAACAAAAGCTTAGCTTCGTTGAAAATAAATAAGTCTCTGCTAAAGATATGCAGTGTACTTTAGAAAATTTTATACTGGAACTAAAATCTTGAGACGATCCATTACCGTTTCAAAGTCAGAAGTGGAATTAACGCCATTTTAGAAAGAACGTCGAAACGGTTGAGTGTTGAAAATAAATCTCGAGTCAGGTTCGAGAAAGCGAGTTCTTAAAGGGTTGTTGCTTCGATAGTTTTCACGGCAATGTTACACAGCAGTCTCACTTCAACACCAATAATAATAAAAGTATAAACCAAAGCTCTCAAAAACTAGGTACTTGTATGGTTGGCGAATTCATCATCAAAGTTTTATGGTTTTAACGAAAATATTTATTGATTTTCATAAGTGATTTTCACCCAAAGGGTGTCAACAGAACCTATTACTGAGCCTCCGATGTCCATTTGTCAATATTCCTGTCAGTTTTATCAGTGACCCTGTAGTAACCTGCTAGGTACCTAGGATAGAAGGCATTTTAACGATACGCCGTAATATAGACACCACATAATCAATAAAAGTTGGACGAAGTAAGAATCGGATCTTTTACACCTATTTACATTGTGCTGCTACAGTCTTGAATTTCAAACGAAGCAGTTCGATTATATCTTTGGACTAATTGATTTTCACTAATTGAGACGTTGATTTGGAATTCGTATCTGGTGTAAGTTTCACGCTTTTACGTCGCTTGTAACTTATTAAAATTTTATCCATCGCCTAAATAATGTTTAAATTTTAAAGGACTTACTTAATTACATCTACTGGAGGTAATTCCATATGAATGAGAGTTCTTGTTTGGCTTCGAAGAGCTGTTATCGTGAACCCTGAAGCACGATTCCGGAAAATACCGTTACACGACACGTGTACAAGATAGCGGGCATAGCTAGTTCATACTAATATTATAAATGCGAATGTAATGTTGTCTATCATATGGCCTAACCCGTTGAACCAATTTGGATGTTTAATTTTTTTTAACTTCGTATAATTGACCTATGGATGAAGCAACGGGAGAAACTAGTGTTGATTAATGCG